CCACCCACCCCCCAGACATTGTCTCCATGTATAGCCCTGGCTGGCCCAGAACTCATGGAGATCTGCTACATTCTTATTTTATAGGTGGGGAAAACTGAGGCAGAGAGAAAGTAAATTGTGTGAGGCAAATGTGATAACTATTACACTATGGAAACCACTAGAGAAACCACACTTGAATCTGAGAGATAAATGAAATGGTGGAGTTAGAATTGGAACTCATGCAGTTTATTTCCAGAACCTGTATCCTTACACCACCACTACCTTGTTTTACTGGGGAGGGTTTGTTTATGGTGTGTAGTGTAGAAAACAAATTCTGTAATTAAACTTGGGAAACAAGCATTCTGTCACTCTGGGGAGATTACTGTGTACAGTCAAATATTGAAGGAGTTAGGAAGACCTGGATGAAGGAAGCCTCTTTGCCTTGGGGCATAGTCCATGTGCCTGTTTGATTCTTAGGAAATACTTACTCAAGCAGTGTGTAAGAGATTCAGTGGGACTGGAAGTGGATTTTGTTTTGTTTTCAGTACTGGAGAGCAAACCAGTGGGTAAATGTCCTCTCCCACTGAGCTGTATCCCCAGCTTGGAACTATGACTTTTAAAATGCCATTTCCAAGTGTTTTGCTTCTTGGTTGGCGGGTTCAGCACCTGTCCTTGTAGGTAACAATAGGACAGGCTTATTTGACTAGCAGTTTCTCAGTATACCATCTCACTTGTGATTTGCCTCACATCCAGGCTCTGTGGTGAAGGGGGAGGCTCCCTGCCCGTCTGGGAGACAAATAGCTCGCCCAGTTTTTTTCCTGGTTTGTGGTGTTCAGTTCCTTAGCATTGTGGCCTCTGGGTGGCGGTATTGTATTACATTAATGAAGTTTTAGCTTGGCTCTGCCTCTGCTCAACTCTGAAAAGTGTTGCCTGTACTACCCAAGTGCACACCCAACTTAGAGACCCAAAGAATTTCTGGAGTTGCCCCTTTTGGAGTAATATTCAGGACTGATTTGAGAATTTTATTGGAAGTGGAGTAGTTTGTAATTTTCTTCTGAAGAAGGTGTTGGCCAGAACAAAGGTCATAACATTGATTGTTTTGTGGATGAGTTAGTTAAAGGGGCCTTAAGAAGGTCACTACACACATTCATTCGTCTAGCAGGTAGGATGTCCTGCTCCCCAAGCCATTTGTGGATGTGAGTGCCCTTAAGACGCCTAGGGGAGGAAATGCCACATGTTTAAATTAAAATCTCAGCTTTCATCACTTTCCTTTGCCTTAAATGGGGTTTATTAAAATGATTTCACACTTGAACCTGAGAGATAAAAATACAAGGGAAAAGGCCAAAGCATGGTATCCTTCTGTGAGCACGTGTTTTCTTCTGCAGCGAGCCATCCTCCGCAATCCCTAGCTGTGACTTTGTTCTGCAAAGGCGATTCTTACTGTAAAAAGAAATGGATACATTAATGCATCTTCAGATCTGTTTAAAATATAACTTAGAAAATTTCACATGCAAGCAATCCTAATTAAATTCAAACACACACACACACACACACACACGACATGAAAATAGGAGTTTGTCAATAAGGAAGGGGGGACAAGAGAAGGCACTGGGGCTTGAGCATGACCAAAATATATTATATACACATATAAAATTGTCAAAAAAGTAAATTTTTAAAAATTGCAAAGGCCAGTTAGAATGAGGAACTAGTTGATAGGAAACCAGTCCCTCTCCTTACTTCAAAGTGCCCACATTGACCAACATGCTGCTCTCAAGGTGTCACAACTTCCTTCTGAAGTCTTTTACACTTTAAGAAGCATCATCCGGATGGAATGATGAAACACCAGAAATCATTTGGGACACGATTTGCTTTATTGTAACACAACCTGCAGAACAGACAGAAGCTTGGGCTATAAGAATGGAATATTAGCCTTCCGCAATGTTCTTTTTCTGCTTCTTTCAAAAACAGGTTCCGCTGTAGGCAGTTTCAACAAACTGTGTACATCTTTCTGTGTCCTCTTCTGTCTCCATTAACAGTGGCATGTGCACTTTGCATTCCAGGTAATGAGTCAGCTGAGAAGGGAATGTTAATTTAATTGGGCAAACCGGGCCTATCTTATTCCAAGAAGCAGTGCTGGAATTCTCTGTATTGAGGCTTTGTTCCAGAAGACGCACTGGCTTGGTAGCTTTGGGAGCTGGACTAAGAAACAAAGCTACAGGTCTACCAACCCTTTCCTTAATGCCTGTCTTGGCTTTGGAAATGGAGCTGTCTGTAATTTCCATGCGTGGAAACTGCCTTGGTGTTCCACCACAGCTCTTTCTGGTTCAATGTTTAAGACATTGGGTTGTTTTCTCACTGTATACCCCTGTGGTAATTGAGAAAGGCAGACTGTCTGGCAAAAAGGAGCTCATTTGGAGCCAGGGCTGCTGGCTCACAATAGAAATGTTTTCTGATAACTCGAGTGGAGATGGGCTAGTGCACTGAGCCAGGAAGGGGTAGGCAGGGGTAGGGTGGGCCTTAGGGAGGACTGTGGATCAGTGGAAGGAGAATAACTGAGATAGCAGTTAAGATGCTCTTGGCAGAGGGAGAGGAAACCCGCTGGATAGAAAGAAGTGCTTACCACCGGGTGCAGCATAGAACCTGTCGGATGAGAAC